TTGAGGCAATTATGGATTAAAAATGTGCACATTGCTAATTATTTACTTCCCTGTATGGTGTCAATCCTTATTTGGGGATTGTAGCTTGCATCTAAATTATAGTCAAATAGTCTAGTATAACAATTTCCATTTATCTATTCCATCATCAATCAATAAATCAAATGTCATAAGCAGAATTTAAAGTTCATATTTCTATTTTCCAGGCCACATTTGTTCCAATATGTCATGTGCATGCATAATAGATTCCTTCATTTTGTTTAGGATGTTGTTAGTCAGCAGCAATAAAAATGTAGCTTTTACCGTGAATAATATTGGAACTCATCAAAACCCAGAATGCTCAGTTTTAGTAGCTTTTCAGAATAAAAGCAAGACAGACAACACTTGCTGATATAAAAATGTCATTTTTAATAGTGCATCTATTTAGCACAATTTGTCAATAGTGTCAATGGATGCAATACTTATTGTAATGCTATTATCTGAATAGATAATTATGGAAGCAGATGGCCCACTCTCATAATCTACTCCTCACTCTTTCTCAATCTAGCATCAAATTGTACCAGTAACAAGACCAGATGATTAGCAATTGGAATAGTGCAACAGATACATTAATATTGTTCCTAAAAGCAGAAAAAAAAACAAAAAAAAAACAAAAAAAAACAAAAAAAAAAACAACTTGAACCAGCAAGGTCAGTTTGTAGAGAGTTTGAAGTTCAACGACAATTGTTTTCAAAACAAAAGGTAAAGGAGGAAAACTGGTTAAAAATTTAAAATATTAAACAAAAAAATGTTTGGCACCAATGACAATTTATTGTGATATTTTTCCTTTTCCAAGTTATAAAATATATAAACTCTTTCATACAAAATTAACTCTGAAAGTTGTGTTCATAAAAAATATATATTTACAAAATATTAAAAACAGAACTTTTGAACTTTTCTGTATTTCTCAGATTTTTTGTACAATGCACATAAAGTAAACAGTACTGGAAGTGCATTTTAAATTCTGTAGTCATGATTTTTATGCAAATAAAATGAAATTATCTCTTTTCTGAAGACAGTTCCTAAAGACAATGCAGACACACACCATAAAAAGCTGATGAAACTTCAAAGACATTTTTAAGATTTCCCTAATATTATGCAAAAGGTAATACTGAGAACTTTGACATCAACCTCATACATACATGATATACTTAATATATGTTATATATGCATGACAGCATTTAGAAAAAGTAGAATTGATTTGAAGCCGAAAATAACATTTGAGATGGTGACAGCTGAAAAATCAATTGTTTTAATTAGGTCATTATGTATACGCCTTAAATCAAAGTTAAAAGTTTCCCAGGTTTTTACTTTGATTGCAATGTAAATGCAGTTTATTTTAAAAGTTGACATGTGCCACACTGGTAAGAGACAATTTGTTTTTAAGCAATTAAAATAGTTTCATCATAACTGAAAATGGAAAAGAATATTTACAGTATTCTCCCTACATTTGTCAAGCAAACCTCATACATCTGTTATAAAATACAAAAATATAAGCATTTTGATATGCAAATGTAAGTTTCTTGCTTGTAAAAGACACTGTTTATCCTAACATAAAACAAGTCAAATAATTAGAATAAATAAGAATTCAATTCATTTTTTTTTTTTTTTTTTAATTAGTTACCTAAACAAAAAGTTCTTGGAGATATTTAGAAAAAAAAAATAAACTCATTATTTTAAATACTATAGAATTATTTTAGTAGCAGGCAAATTGTAATCAAAAGATTTTGATTTAAAAAATTCAACTAGCCACACATAAAACTTATAATAATAATAATAATAACTAATGACTGAAAGGAATCCAATTTAGACTCTATAAAAAATTGAAATATAACCATTTAATGAAGTTATCAATGATATATTAGCAGATAATGATGGGGAAATATTACTAGAATTTATCAATTAATTAATAGGAGATAACATGCATAAATTACTAGAAAATAAAAGCAACAAATCAATCTTAAATTCACTTTGCCAAACGCCTCAATCATTTCACTGAGAAAGGCATGAACCATAAATTTCCGTGTCAATCTTCTTATAATCTGGGTGAGGCGAATGAGAACAAGTAATTGTAACTGGATAATACCCCCCCCCCACCAGTTTTTTTACTGAGCCTTTTTACAAAACAGAAAGAGACAAAAAACTTTATCCACTGTCTAAAGTGTCTAGAGACATGTGAATGATTATTGTAGGTTTTACCTATATCATTAAGATTAGAAAACACTCTTATCAAAATTTACTTCATTGGGTAAACCTTATTCATGATAGGAGAATGTAAAAATATGATGATGATGATGCTTATGTTACGTCAATAAAAACAAGACTGCAATAGTCAAAAGAAATATGACGGGGGGGAGGAAATGACCAACTTCGAAGTGCTAATGATTGTTCATCACACTCAAATACCAAAGAATGCTAATGAATCCTGTTCTTGGTGATTGGTTGGGCGGACCATTGGAGAAGAATTTTTATGGTTTCAAATATGCAAGGAGAAAAAAATAAAACATTCTGGCTTTTATTTGGCTTGCGGATTTATTACAAGAGGGTTTTATTAAAGACTTTCAGATTTCAATTACTGGGATTAATTTAAGGTGGCACACAAGAAAAAGAATCTACTTACATAAAAAGCGAACAAAGGAGAAATAATTTTGCACCAAATTTGGTAGTTCTATAAAAACTACAAACCAATCAAGAGAAAAAAAAGGAAATAATAAAAGCAATAAAGTTACGATGTTCTTTATTGTAAATATTTAACTAAGTAAATCAAAGCATTATTAGTTATTTTTTCACCACCCACAAAAAAAAAAGATATTTGTTAATTAAGCAAATATTCTTAATTAAACATTAAAAATATCTTGTTCATTAGAGTGTGAGAGAGACAAAGAGAAAAAGTGTGTGTGTCTCCCTCTCGTTGGTGCCTATAAATGATAATACAGATAAGAAAGTCCCCAAATGAGGGACCTCAATGCAAAGGAAAATCACTCAGTCAGGCAGTGGATCATCAGCTGATGCTAATCCGATTCTATCGGATCACTTGCCTCCAGATCAGTGCAGGATTTGTCTTTGGGAAGATCAAAACGGATCCATGTTCCATTAGGAACCAAAAGCTCTCTAAGCCTGGCCAAACAGAAAACAAAGACTCACATGCCATGCAATAGATTCACTCTTGTCGCAGATATTTTCATTTTTGTTTTGAAGATTAAAAATAAATAGACATGTATATCTGTATATAAGTGTGTCTACAGAGGTAGAAAGTGAGTATATACAAGCAAATGGGTGTATAAGTAATTACTAGAGGATGGGTTAAAAATACACAGTGGCAAGGGAAATATATATATATATGTGTGTGTGTGTATGGTTGAGAGCAATAAGTATACATTTAAATTGAAAAATAGAATAAATATACAACACTGTTATTGCGTGTGCATGTGTATATAAAATATTTTGGAAGATCAAGTGGGGCATACAGAATGTTAAGAATAGAGAAAGAAGTTTAAAGAATATGTGTCAATAAGAGAGAGAGAGCAATATGTGTATGAAATTTGGGATCAGATTTCATTTTTAAAACAATATTTTTGCTCTATTTATAGATTATATGTAGATGTCAAATAGTTTGAATAACTTGCAGTTGTTACCTTGGCAAGTGTCCACAAAGATTCTATAACCTTGTAAAGATAGTAATTAGAAAATAGTTCACAAATAGTGAAGGTAGAACAGTCACTTGTGCTGTGCCATACATGACTGAAGGTTAAAAGTTTTCAATATGTAAAAATTGTTTTCATCTTCTTAAGTAATGAGGAAATTACAACTAAATGTGGTAATTTCAGTTATCTCAGCCCTTATTTGAAACTATGGTTAGGAATCTTGTTTAGAGGAAAAAGGAAGGTGAGATTTTATCTTGATCTCAAGTGTTTCTATTTTAAGGCTAGTGGGATGTTTTCTTTTTTTTCCTCAAGTCTAGTCTTCTAAGCAGCACTCACTGTGACTGATGGGGAATAGAAGAGTAAAGAAGTGGATGGTGAGTTTTGGAAACTAAGCAACAACAATACAGACATTGATTATTTCTGGGTGCTAGCCTATATTAACAGTCATGGTTGGGATCAGCAACGGGGAGTTAGTGCTGATGCACTCCTTGCTTAGAGTTGACAGACTTGTCCATCACAGTTCCAATGCCACCTATTTATACTGCAACCCACACATTCTAAATGAGAAGTGGGTGGTAGGAGGGAAGAGCAGAATTGTTACAAAATATGGCAGAATTTGATCCAAGTGTGACCTACCTACCCAGACAAACAGAGTTACTGTTATTATTTTTCAACATAGCATAAGTTTTAATATTCATTACCTTGTGAACATGAAGCAGGTCCTTTCCCAGCCTTCATGCATGAACTAGAATCAAGATGCAATATAGGCAAAACATTGGTCAATCAGTGAAAAGCTTGGTTAAGTATCATGTATGTTTACACTTACAAGCAGTTATGGCTGAATAACCAAACCTAAGACAGAAAATGACAAGGTTTGTATAATGTTGAAGGTAATGTGATATAATGCCACTTAAGGCAAAAAAATGTAGTCCCTCTTTGCACACAGTACCAGATATATTAGTGATTAGCTTAAAAGCTGCCCTATTAGGTGTATTTAAGCTAGCTCCTGCAGTGGGCTCTTGATTGGTCCTCCATCACAATAGGTAGAGAGGAGTAGATGCAATAGGCAACAATAAACTACAGAAGAACTCGAAATTGATTGCTGCATTTAAGAAATGCATTAATATATAATCTTACCTTTTAAAAGTTCAACGATAATTCTTTTGTCACCTCTTTAATTTAAAGATAATTTGATGTATGTAGGTCCTTACTTTCCATACAAACAATTATTTTTATTTCATGGGCGACTTTTGCTGGATTTCACAATTAAATTTGATTATTCCCAAATTTATTTCTAAGTTATAAAAATTGTTAACATACACAAAAATTTGCTGAGAAAAGAAAGAAGAGAAAAGAAAGAAGAGAAAAGAAAGAAGAGAAAAGAAAGAGAAAAGAAAGAAGAGAAAAGAAAGAGAAAAGAAAGAAGAGAAAAGAAAGAGAAAAGAAAGAAGAGAAAAGAAAGAGAAAAGAAAAAAGAGAAAAGAAAGAAGAGAAAAGAAAGAGAAAAGAAAGAAGAGAAAAGAAAGAGAAAAGAAAGAAGAGAAAAGAAAGAAGAGAAAAGAAAGAAGAGAAAAGAAAGAAGAGAAAAGAAAGAAGAGAAAAGAAAGAAGAGAAAAGAAAGAAGAGAAAAGAAAGAAGAGAAAAGAAAGAAGAGAAAAGAAAGAAGAGAAAAGAAAGAAGAGAAAAGAAAGAAGAGAAAAGAAAGAAGAGAAAAGAAAAAAGAAAAAAGAAAAAAGAAAAAAGAAAAGAAAAAGAAAAAAATTCCCAATTGCAGTAATGAAAATTCTAAAATCCAAAATTTCAGGATCATGGAACCAGAACCATCTTGGAATGTTTTTTTATTTGCTCAGCCCAATTCCAAAATACTATGTTGGGCAACAGCCTCTATGAGTAAAGTTGAAAAAGTGTGACACCATGACGCACTGACATTAGCATTTATTATATAGAAGAACAGAAAAAGTATTGTATAGTAGAAGAGATGGAAGCAAAATTCTCATGAAATAGATTTGAAAATCATGACAGGTAGGAGTAAATTTTCTAATAAATTTAATAATCAAGGTTAGGCATGCCCAAAGAAAAATCCTCTACTGACAATAACGTAAGTGGGAATGAATAATAAGAAGAAATTAACTATTAGTCTATATGGTATTAGTAAAAAAATGCAGAAAGAATAAAATGGTTCAGTGATGCAATTTCAGCAAATGAAGGTTACTGTGACATATTCAGACAAGGAATATTCTTTTATTATTCATGACTAAAAAGACCACAATACAGCAGAGTTCCATAAAGAAATACCTTAAGTTAAAGTTTGTTAACTCTTTAAGAATAACGGCACCTGTATAGAAGTCACCATTATCTCTAAATCAACAAGTAATGATTGGTGCAACACATCACTTCTTAAAAGTATTAAGCAGCAGTTAAAATAGCCTAAATGATGTCAGAGCAATGAAGACATACTCTTAAATAGAAAAATTAAAATGTTCTTAAATGACATATACATGAAATTTTCCTTGGAAAATAAGTCACTATTTCAATACAAGAATATCAGAAGGTCAGTCAAAAAATAATGCTTGTTCTAATTTAATTTTAAAAGTAAAAAAAAAAGTCAGCATTTCTAGACTTTTTTTTGTTAGCTGTAAACCATAAAGTGGTTATTGAGTTAATTTTCTATTTCCTATACAAAATCCTCTAGACACACACATACACACACAGAAAGTAAAGGTTTGTTATAGAATTTCTGTTTTTAGAATGAGAAAGTCTATGTTTATAGGAAGGCTATAGTTAATGTATGTACAATGAGCAAATGGATGAGTAGAATTAATGGTAATCCTAGAAAGAAAAGAGAAAATGTGACCCCAGTGATAGGCTATCATTACAGTTGACATAAGATTCACCATTATAAAACTACAGGGAAGCTTTCAGATGAGCTATGGAAATAGCTGTAGTTTAATACAGTTTCTTGACTACTTGAAGGTCTGTGCAAAGTGTGTTCCCAGAATGCTGACACAATGAAAGAGCAAAGAATGGTTGAACCCAAGAACTTTTTTGTGCTGCACAACACAAAGTGTCTTCCAAAACCCAGATAGACACAGAAATCAAGTCCCGGTTTTATAATTATGGTCTGGAAAGCATAAAGGAAATGGTAAAGATTATTGTAATTGAATTGTTTTGAAATTCAGAAATTATTATATTATGTTGAAGATCTAGTTTCGTAAATAGAGACTAAAAAATAGGAAACTGCCAAATACAGAAAATATAAATTTTTGTGTATAGGACTTTTAAAGGAAACAAGAATTTATAAATGACAGAATTATATGTTAAGTGTGTTCCCAGAATGTTGAAAGACTCCATGCAGGAACAGAGAGTGGTTATTGCTATTATTAAATCTATTATGATTAAAGAAGAACAAGCATTATTTTTTTTACTGACCCTTGTACAACAATTGAAAAGGAAGGAGATTATGTTGAGAACTAAATTTAGAATACTGACTTTTGTGTTCATTTTGGTCTGATTTCTGTGCTTCTATTATTAAAACTACTGAGATTAAAGAACAGGCATTAATTTTTGACCAATCCTTGTACTTTCATGTTTTAAAATAATTTCTTGCTTTCACTTGTCTTTTCATCAATTGATTCTGGACCAATGTTTATAATAATTATTAAAGTAACACTAAGGTAACAAAAATCTTTGCAAATTGCTTTGATGCAATGTCGACTAGCTAATTGCTAATCAAAATTTTTAGTCACCATCTTATGAAAAGAGAACAATATGTAACTGATATGATTGCAAGTGGAGACATTTTTAAGTGTGGATCCATGATGAATATATCTTTAAAATATATCTCTTTTAAAAGTAATAACATCTATCTTTCAGATTACATGTTCAAATGTCATCATTATGTCAACTTATAAATTAAAATACATCAAATTAAAAAAAAAAAAAAAAAAAAAACAGTGAATTTTTTTTTAAATGATAAAAAAAAGATCTATTTTCTATTTAGATAACACTTGCAATTTCAAAGTGATGTTAATCATAAAATATGAAGATGTTAAAAAGTTCTCAGCCTAACCAAAAACAGATCTGAAAATAAATTCTGATGTTTGGTCATATGATCAGATTTTGGGAAGTGGATCAGGCCAAGAAATTTTCAGCACCCAACTACTCATCATGATAGCCATGGCTTTCTTGAAATTTTCCCTATAGAGCTTATGTTATAGAAAAAGATTATTATAATATGCAACTGCTATAAATTAATCTTTCTTCTCTAAACTTCCCTGAATAAAATAACCATAATTACTAAATAAATAAAACCAGCTCTGTCTTAAATATGTACAGGTATATACCTCACTTAATTGGAACATTGTTCTTTATACCATGGGAAAAAAAGGGGTTATGGCACCCAAATGTTCAAAATTCATTACTCTATATATCCAAGTTACAAAAACTAACACAATAAAAGACAAGTGACATTAGCACTACCATCAGATGGACAGATGTACACAATTTTTTGTTTTGTTTTTTTTATGTGACTTTTTTTTAATATGGCTTAAGATGAAAGACAAAACGAAATGATATGATATCAATTGGTTTTAAATCCTTGAGAGAAACTCAATGAGAAATAAATCACTCATTCCAGTTGATATCAGTCTCGGCAGTGAAATTGAAAAGACCCTAAAGGCTTGAATAGTGTGTCAAAAATAAGGAGGAGCCAATTTGGAGTGTAGAAAGGCCAACCAAAGCAAAAGGCAGGCAGTTGGAAAAGCAACTGTCAGTGTGTGTGTGTGTGTGTGTGTGTGTGTGTGTAAGCCTGAGATACAAAAGCAAGTAAAAGTAGATCTATCAATTGTAAGCAAATACAAAAGAAAAGAATAAGAAGAAAGACAACAAGATGATGACAATCAAGATGTGAATCAAGTGAGAAAGCGCATAGCAGAGGCAACTAAATAATAGACATGTTTAACACTATTATCATCATTTATATGACAATAACAACAGACTTCTAACACAAGAGGGCAGAGTTATTTTCTGAATTCAGGTCTCTTATTATTACCACCACCCCTGCATTTTCTCTTGATAACAAAACAACAAATCAAGGTGAAAGGTCTTGCAGTTGGTTCCCATTTTGTTGTACCTTTTTTTGTTTGTTTTTTTTTCCTCAGTTTGCTGTTGTTATTTTTTTTATAACCACCTTTTTCTTTCCAATAAACAACATCCTACAAATAGAGGAAGATAGGGGAAGGAAAACACTATGGGGTTGTTTTTTGGGGGGGGGCACAGTTTGTTAGTAACAGAACACACAATGGATGATGGGGTGGGGTGGATATCATGTACAACACAGGCCAATCATAAATGAAAGAGAGGGTGCAGACACACCAAATCTATCTATCTATATATATATATATATATATATATATATATATATATATATATATATATATATGAGAAAAGTTTAAAAAAAAAAAAAAATATGGAAAGAAAAAGATACTAGGCAGAAATGAGAAGGTTCCATTGGGGGTGGGGAGAGAAAAGTCAAGCAAGAAGGTCACACGTCCCCCCCATTGTGCTAGAGGGAAAAATTGGTAAATCACCTAGAACAGTGGATGGAGTAGAGAAGTGGGGAAGGTTATGGTATCCATGGCAAAATGATAGCATAGTGGGCAGTGTATAAGATGTTGGCGCCTGATGAGGTTCATTAGAAGACTTGCAGCGGCATCATGAGTTGTGGGCAGGACAAATATTAAAGAATAGACAACAAGTCAATTCTTTCTTTCTTTTTAAATCATTATCCACCTTATTTCTGGTAATGTCCTGCGTGTGCCTTGATGAGACGCAGCAGTCGAATGCCTCCTGGTTGTTGATCTCATCAAATCTAATGAAGCATTGAAAATTTTTGATGAACACAAATAGAAAAGATGGGTGGTTTTGTTGGTTGAATTTTCCGACTGAAATGTCTTTCTTTTAACAACTCTTTGCTCTTTTCATCTTTCTCTCTTTTCCCATCATCAGCTACCCACACCTACCCTAATCTTTTCAACCTTGTATAAAGAGGATGGACAGAATAGAAACAAAAGGAAAATGAATTTTTATAAAAACAAATTAAACATCAGGCTTAAAAGACTTATCTGTTCTGTTTTGTTTTTTTTTGTTTTTTTGCCATAAAAAAATCCCTTTTACTGACTGCTTAGCTTATAATTACCACTTTTCAAATCCACTGATCTGTAGGCAAAAATAACAAAGCAATCATGATGCTGCTTTCGCAAATGTATGTCAATGGTGAGGATCCAGGTGGTCCTGGGTGACAAACAGCTAAGAAAAAAGGGAAATTTTTCTCTCTGAAACTATGTCAATCAACTTATTGGTCATTTTTCAGGATACTAGATACTTAAAATCATAGCCAACTAAAATAAATTTGCAAAATATATTACAGACTGATCATTACTGTTAGTCTAGACATAATTTTACTACATTAAATTTTCTCTTCCTCATTATTTAATACTTATTTGTATGATGTCATTTTTTATTAAATTAGTGATGTTTATTTTATAACTAATAATGTAGTAAATTCACTGGCATACAAAAGGCTATTAAACGACAGTCAACATATAACATATCATCATAGGGCACCTCGAGGTGGTGTAATGGTTAGCAAGCTTGTCTCACTAGAACAATTACAACTAAGTAGTGACTTCGATCCTCATGGGTGCCTCATGCATTCGGCCTTGTGCCACATCTGAGCTATGCTTGGATCATCATAGGGCACCTCGAGGTGGTGTAATGGTCAGCAAGCTTGTCTCGCTAGAACTATTACGGCTGAGCCGTGAGTTCAATTCTCACTGGGTGCCCCCTAATTTCGATCTTGTGCCACATCTAAGCTATGCTTGGAAAATCACTATAACATATCATCATGTCCTAAAGGATGTTTTAAAATTAGTGGGAATTCATTTTTCCCTGTAAAACTTTAAACTTCAGAATATTTATTGATAAAGAAATTATATCATATTTGTAATTAGCATAAAAGTTGAGGTAAAAATATGGGGGAATCAAAATTAGAGAGAGAAAAAAAATAGTTTAATTTTTTTTGTTTTTTTTAGAATTTTTACCTACTGCCCAGCATTACTGAAGAAGAGACTTTTGCAGGAACTACACTTGGATAATGACTGCCTAATAAAGGGTTGAGAGTGGAAAAGAAAAATTCTAATCTATTCTTTGAATAGCATAAATTCCCTTTTTTTTTTTCTTCTTTTTAAATGCAATCATCAGGTGTTTCCTCCAACAACTAAAATCATTTCAGCTGACATGATTTCACTTAAAGCAGTGCTATTCCAAGACATAACATAATGGATATGATTTTTGCATCACAATGACAATAACATTTCTCCTTTCACCATTCTTAGCATCAACATCATCACTGCCTACTTCCTCACCTTCTTTAATACTGCCAAAAATCTAAATGACCAGAACCTTGCTGCTGAGCTCTATTCTGACAAGAATCGGATCAGACCCAAAAATGGACTATTGCTGCCACATCTGAGCTGAACCTAACCAAACATTACTTTCTAGTCTTGACAAAGTTCAAAAGTGTTTGCATGGCCTTGTGGGTGATGAATATGCAATCCTTGCTACCTACCTATACACCCTGACAACATCCCCATTCAATAACCTTTTACCTTGAGTGACACTTAGGCCTTGAATTGGATGAATAATAGTATAAAATATATATTATTTCATAAAATTAAGAAAAATAAATATTACTTTAATAAAAATTAAATTGTAAACTATCATTTAGCAACACATTATTTTAGATGTAAGAAGTTGAACAGAAATAATATTTTTCCTATGATTTCTACAAGAGGACCAATAAATATATTAAATCAACTAAGATCAAAGGAAAGTATATATCATTAACTGCAGCTGGTAGAGAAAAGGCAAGATGACTATAATTTAGAATAGAAATAGGAAGTGAATTTAAGCTTAGAGATATTTTCATTTAGACTAACCATAAATTTTCTTCATTTATATTTTCCTCCAAATCAATTTCTTTACAAGCTTAGGATTTATCAGCTAGTTGTAATAAAAGAGAACTGAAAAGTAATCAATTCACATTAACCTGATTTTTTTTAATCTGAATACAGAAATTATTAAATTTAGTAAATTATTAAAATGCACTAACAAATGTAACTGCACATAAACAGCACAAAGTCCATCTACAAAACAAAGGCTACATATACACACTTTTATAATTATCTTAATGGTTGCAACATTGAGTATCAAGATGGGTTTGGTTGTTTTATTTGTTTTTTTTTTTTTATTTTGTTTTGTTTTTTCATACTTGCTGGTTAGTCTATTACTTTTAAATTCCACCATATCTACAAGGCATAAATATATTTTTAAAAATGAAAAATAAACTTAAGTGGATGTGAAAGTGATGTAACAATCATTGATACAGAAAATGGGTATTGACATGCCAAGTTCAAATTCCAGGAAATGTTGTTCGATTCAAGTGATACTAATGTGCTTAGGAAAGACATGAATCCAACTTTTCACCTTCTTCAACACTATTGGTAAATAGTAGGGTAGATTGGACTATTAATTGGGGCAACCAGTCTAGAAGAACAACTCTGAATTAAAAACTGTCATGGAAGCAACAGGAAACTATCTTTCCCAGGAAGCATCATGTCAATTCAAATGTATTAAAACAAGAAAAAGCAGTGGTGAGTCATGACTGCAGACAGTGTATTAAAAAAGAAATTAGCTTACTACACTTATAAGTATACTTCAGTAGTTAGAGCACAATATTAAAAAACACTCACGAGTTTCCTTTCAAGTAGTCAGTTTGTAAAATTTAACATACCTATAATATACTGATGGAAAATAAAATTGCAACACTATGAATATATGTTTCAATTTACTTAAGATTAAACATACAGGTAATATAGATGTATGATCTCCTATACCAGTGGTTCCCAAACTTTTTTTTCTCTGAGCCACATTTTTGGAATGAAAATTTGCTCGGAACCTCACTAAATTTTATGTGATAAGAAGTAGATTTAAAAATAAAAAAACAGAGAGAGGCTTAAACCATGGATTCAAAGTCGGAACATTGTCATTGGTAACTCTCTCCTCCAATTTGCAAACCCTAGTTACTAAATTCTTAATAGTTGATATAATGCAAAAATATCACAATGAGAAAATCGGTCGATAATTATTTATAACTATACTGGGATTCATGCATGAAATTCCAAGTAATCCATAATAACATTTTAAATTTTGAAATCATATTTATTTTTGGCATATGAATTTTTTGAAACTTTCTAAATCTTTGTCTTTCAATCATTCCAAAAAAAAGTTGTGTATCAACATGACTATCATCCTTGAGTGATAACATAGGCCTGTCCTCTCACATGTATATAATCATACATTTACCAAATACCATTATGCAATATATTATTCTACACCTTTTGCATCTGTTGATGAATGCCATAAAAGTTGTAGGTGGGCTAAGTGAATGAGACAAGTATCATCCCACCATATCCCATACATGCTCAAAGAGGTACAGGTCTGATACATATTCAAAGGGATGTTGCCAGTGAATGTTGAATAGCATGAGCATCATATGGGCAGGCATTATTCTGCTGGAACAGCACAGTGCCCTCCTATTGCAAGACTACCAGCATAAAGTATTGAACAATGTTTTGGATATACATGGCACTGCTTAACATTCCTTCGAAAAACACCAAAGCTTTGTAACTTATAGCATTCAACACCATAAGGTTTGGGCATAAGTATTGTGGGCAAATACATTCTGAAAGATGTTGCTCCCAAAGTATGTGTCGCACATGCAAATGACCATTATGTGCGCATAAAGAGAAAATTTGCTCTCATTATTGAACAGCATGAAGTGTAAAGATAAAAGTATCATAAGTATATGAAAATCAACATAGAAGCACATATCCTGCTGTAAGTAAACTATTCCCCAAAGACATATACTAACACAACAAGGGGTGGGGGTGCATTTGCTCTGAATTGTGGACACTCTGTGCTGTACCACAGCATCTATACTATGTGACTGTTCAGAACCTGGTCTACAGATGTAGGCATGTTCACTTATGCCCAAAATGTCCATCAATTCTCCAAAACAAACATTGGGCCTTTCAAAGACCAACAATGTAAGTTCTGTTAAACAGTTCTAATTGAACAAAAGGAGTATGTGTGCATCTGTGGTATAAAAACTGGCTTTCACAAGAATATTTCACCACCAATGAACTTTATTGCAGCATGTATCACAGTATAAAGTTTAGGTAAAGACAGTGAAATAAATATTACTACATCACAAAATGGTTGAAGACTTTGAAAATTTTATCAGAATATCAACTATGCTCAGCATACAAATTTTGCATCCAAGTCAAAATTGGCATTATCTGTCGCAATTTTATTTTCTGTCAGTATATATACATTATGTAAACTAGTTCACACTGTGCCTGTGTAAAAGATATAAATCTGTCAGAAACATTACAGAGAAAAATTATATAGTAAGACTGATCTAAATTAGCTAAAATCATTTGCAAACAGTACTCAGTGATAGCAACAACACATTATTGGTTATGAAGCCAAAAGACCCTTTATACTACCAGCCTCTACAGTACCAATAAAAC